TGACAGTTTTTGTTCACAAAGTATAGTTCATATGCTAAGTCATCTCATACCTTTCCCTTGCCTCTTAAACATATCTGTGATTAAATCTTTATTTATTTGTTCGTTTGAAAATACACACAGAAAAGGATACACCATTTTAATACATTCTACATGTTCAGTCCAGTGACATTGTTGACATTCTCTCAAGTAGTGTAACTGTTCTCACAGTCCTTCTGTGGTAATATGTGCACAGGCTCAATTTTTAAAGTTCTCCAAGGAAGAAATTTCTGTGACTTTCCAGTTTTTCCTGTGACCTTTCTTAAGTTTATTGGAAACTTACTTCTATAATTTAAAAAAATAAATTTCTGTCAGTGAAATTAATAGGTCAAAGTGTTAGATATTTTAGCTTTTTTTAAAAAAAATAATTATAGATTGATAGAAAGTTACAAACATGGTACATAGAGGTTCAGTTTCCCCAATTTTTGCATTTTAACACAGTATAGTACACAAAACCAGGAATTTGACACTGATAGAGTGTGAGTGTTTAGTGCTATGTAATTTTATCATATTTTTATCATATTTAGATTTGTGTGACCACCACCACAGTCAAGATACTTACCAGTTTTATTACAAGAACCCCTCATGCTACCCTTTTATAATTACAGACACCTTGTTCCATCCTCACCCTAATCCCAATCTCTGGCAGTCACTAATTTGTTTCCCATCTCTGTATTTTTCTCAGTTTTGAGAATGCTACATAAATGGAATCATACAGAATGTAATCTTTCAAGATTGGCTTTTTTATTACATTTCCTTTAGATTCCTACCAGTTGCATGTGTCAGTAGTTCCTGTTTGTTGTTGGTCTGGATATTCCATAGTTTATGTAGCCATTCACCCATTGTAGGACATTTGAGTTGTTTCCAGTTTTTCACTATTATGAATAAAGCTACTATGAACATTAATGTGCAGGTTTTTATGTATAATTTGTATTTCCCTGGCATAACGGACCAGGAGTGCAATTACTGAATCATTTGGCAGTTGCATGTTTTGTTTTATAAACAACTGCTAAACTGTTGTCCAAAATAGGTGTGGTAGTTAAAGTTCTGTGTCAGCTTGGGTGGGCCTTGGTTTTGAGTGACTGGGCAGCTGGATGCAGTTATTCCCCATGATGAGATTGAATTTGGTATAATCAACTCCACGTTGGAATCTGCTGCGAGTAGCTAATTAGTTGCATTGGAGATGTGGCCTGCTTCCAGTATACAGGGAGACACTTTGAGAAAGGTCTGGAGTTTCCTGGCACATCTGAATCCGACATTGGGCTGAGTCATCAGTGGCCTGCCGTGTTGCTTGCTAATCTTGGGACTGTGCCAGTTCATTTGTCAACCTTGAGTTTGTTAGCCTTAGCAGCTGCCTGCATTATGAGATGCTTCCAGTTCTGGCGGGCCAAGAGCAACAGGCAAAACTGAAACCCAGGGTCAAGGGGCCTTCACTGAAGCCCTAGAGCCAGCACTTTGAACTCGGACTTGTAGTTTCCTAAACTGTGAGAGAATAAATCTCTGTTTGTTAAAGGGGATGTTTCTGTTACAGCAGCACTAGAGAACCCAAACAGTAGGTGTACCACTTTACATTTACACCAACAGCTTATTATGAGTGATCCAGTTTCTCCACAGCCTCACCAGCATTTGGTGGTATCACTTTTTTTTTTCCAGCTATTCTGAGAGATGCTTTATTCTAATTTTAATTTGCATGTCCCTAATGGCTAATAAGGAGTCTTTGTGTGGTGCAAATGATTAACGTGCTTGGTTGCTAATTGAGAGGTTGGAGATTCAGGTCTATCTAGAGGCTCCTCAGAAGAAAGACCTGTTGATCTACTTCTAAAAATGCAGCCATTGAAAACCTCTGAAACACACATGGGGTTGCCATGAGTCAGAATTGACCTGACAGCAGCTGGTAGTGGCTAATGAAGTTGACTGTTTTCATTTGCTTTTTTGCCATTTCAGTATTCTCTTCAGTTTATTCTCTGTTCATGTCTTTTGTCCATTTTGTAATTAGATTGTTTTACTGGTGTTTTGAGAGTTCTTTTGAGAACTCTATTTGAGAGTCCAAATAATCCTTTGTTGTTTATGTAATTTTCAGATATCTTCTCCCAGACTATAACTTTGTCTTTCTTTTTCTTTGAAGGGCAGAGCTTTTTATTTTGATGAAATCCAATTTTTCAATTTCTCTTTCTTACATGGATCATGCTTTTGTCTAAGATCTCTTCACCAAGCCCTAGATTCTGAAGAGATGCCCTAAGTTTTCTAAATGTGTTACAGTTTCATGTTTTACATTTAAATTTATGAACCATTTTGAGTTAATTTTTATATAAGATGTGAATCTTAGGCTTATGTTCAGTTTTTTGCCCATGAATATCCAATTGCTCCAGCACAATTTCTTGAAGTGTCTACTCTTCTTCATTGAATTCCTTTTGTGTCATTAGTAAAACTTTGTTGTCCATACTTGGGTGGGGTTGTTTCTAGTCTCTCTAGTCTGTTCCATTGATTTACAAGTCCATCACATTGCAGTACCACATAGGCTTGATTTCAGTAATAGGATAAGTCCTAAAATCAGATAGAGGGATTCTTCACAATTAATTCTTCTTTTTCAAAATTGTTTTTGTTATCCTAATGTCTTTGTGTTTCCATATAAATTTTAGAATAATTTTGTCTGTATTTATAAAAATCCTTCTGATATTTTGATAAGAATAATGTTAAACCTCTGTCATTTGGAGAATTGATTTCTTTATTTTGTTAAGTCCTTCAATCTATGAACATGGTTTGTCTCTGCATTTATTTAGATCTTTATGATTGCCTTCACTAGAGTTGTGTAGTTTTCAGCATTTAAAGCCTGTATGTATTTTATTAGATTTACACCTAGGTCTGTCTTTTTTTGAGTGATAATAAGTGGTATTTTTAATTTTTATTTCCATATGTTTATTGGTACTATATAGCAGGAGCTCTGGTAGCATAGTGCCTAAGGCACTTCACTGCTAACCAGAAGGCTGGCAGTTCAAACCCACTAGCAACTCCTCGGAAGGAAGGTTGGGCAATCTAGTTCCGTAGTGATACTGCCTCAGAAACCCAAGGAGGGTCACTATGAGTCAGGTCCGACTCAATGGCACATAACAACAACATAGAAATATAGTTGATATTTATATATTAATTAATCTTGTGTTCTATGACCTTGTGGGACTCACTTATCAATATTTGGATTTTTATCTTCCCTTTGATTTTATATATAGAAAATAATTTCATCTGCAAATAGGGACAGTTGTATTTTTTCCTTTATGACTTATATGCCTTTTATTTTTTCCTACATTATTACTTGGTTTAGAACTGCCAGGACTATGTTGAATAAAAATGAGGAGAGTAGGCATTCTTCCGTCTTCCCAATCTCAGGAGGCGGGGGAATGTGTGGGGAGCATTCTTTTTTTATTTATCAAGTATGATGTTAGGTCTAAGTTTTCTGTAGTAGTTCTTTATCGAGTTGAGGAAAATCCACTGTCATCAAGTCAATACCAACTCATAGAGACCCTAAAGTACAAAGTAGAACTGCTCCATAGGGTTTCCAAAGCTCTATATCTTTACAGAAGCTGACTCTCCCATTTTTCTCCTGCATAGCTGCTGGTGGGTTTGAACCACTGACCTTTTGGTTAGCAGCCCAATGCTTTAAACACAGTGCCACCAGAGTTCCTGAGATTGTGCAGAGTTTGTGTTAATTCTTTAAAATTTTGGTGAAATTCTCCAGAGAAAACTTTTGGTGCTGGTAGTTTGTTTTTCAGGACTTTTTTAAATTATAAATTTATTTTC